TAATAATAATAATAATAATAATAATAATAATAATAATAATAATAATATTACTACACATTCGCTTAATGGCCGATCGCGATTTGACCATTTCCCCATTTCTCTCGAACTGGACGGCTCTGATTGCCAAATAAATCTTTGAAGCCAGCCTTTTCTCCCCCCCCCCTTTTTTTAAGAGTAAAGGATAAAGTTTGCACGAAAGCTTCCTCCGGAGGAGGACGACGGGGCAGTGGTTTTCTTCAGTGTAACGGGGGCGGGGGCGGATGCTTTTCAGGATCCTGTCCACGCGCGCACGGACAAGCCCTAACTTGGAGGCAGAAAACAATGCGAGGGGAAGATAAGGGAGGCAGGGGCGGCTTGTCCAGCCTGCTTAAAAAAACCAGTTCTGCCCCGGCTCTTTATTTACTTTCAAAGATGGACTCGAGAGCTGCTGCTCGGCTCTTTCCCCTCTCTCTTCCCTTCAGGGAAATACCACCCAATCGGGCCGGCGGGCCTCTTGCGCGAAACCCCTCGCCTGCGCGGCGTCCGCGGCGGCGTCCGGCGTCCACCCTTCAATCATCCGGACGAGCCGGGCGGACAGGAGCGGGCGAGGGAGACTACAGTGCCCAGCGTCCCCTTCTGCTCCCTGATCAATGGACCTTATTTGAATAATCTGTGAGCTCTTGGACTCAGGCCAATCAGCTGTCAGGGACCCATGATAAATCGCAATGCATTATTGATAATCATAATTACTCTGACATGCGCATTCCGCTCTTCGGGAGTAATTTCCCAACTCCAGGAATTTGTTGTGAAGAAGAAGAAAATAATTGCTACTATTTTGCTCCCGATGCGTGTTGTGCACCATGTCGAGGCGCAAGCAAGCGAAGCCCCAGCACATCCATTCGGACGAGCGGCAGTTCCCGGATGTAGCAAATGGTAAGGGGGTGGGGGGGGGGGCGTAAAAAAACGCGAAGGAGCGCCGGTCAATTATCAACTTTAATTGATGGGGAAAAGAAATCAGGCAAGGGGATCGGGTGGGGGCTGGGGTTTTTGTTTTTTTTTTGCTTGCTTTTGTGCGCGTGTGAGTGGCTCCTTCTCCCAACTACCCCATGGCGCATCGGGGTTTCTTGACCGGGATCCTGAGCCAACTCTCGATATCTGGACCACTTCTGTTTCATCCTGATTTCCCACGACTGCGGGGGCAGATCGGAAAGTGTGTATATAGATATATCTTTATTCATCATGTGGGCCACCCCATATTTTCCCCCTGTTCCTTCATCAATCCGTGATTGAATCTAAGTTCGGATAATTTTTTTTAATTTAAGGGGGGAATTGAACTCTGAACTCAAGACTATTTTTTTTCCCCCCTTTCTGGGGAAAAAGAAAAATCCAGATTTTTTCCTAGTGGGTGATTCTTTCCTCCCTGCCCCCCAGAGCTCCTCTCCGGTTGGGAAAAAAAGTTTTTCTACCTCCTAAATGTAGGTTGTCTTTAGCATCTCCCACTCACCCCCAGGATTGATTTGGAGCCATCGTAGCCGAAAGCCGCGGCCAGAAGGTAACTCCCTAAATATTTCTGGAAAGGGGGGCGGGCGCCGAGAGGAACACCGCGAAATACCTTTTGTGATACCCCCCCCCCCTCCGTTTGTGCCTCTATTGGGATGAACTGCCGCTTCTGCCATTTAGTAACTAAAAACTCGCCGAGAGAGAGATTACAATCGCTCGGGACCTTTTGTAGCCTGACCTCCAGCCATCTTTGATTTCCGACTTCCTAAAATAACTCCCGTGAGCTAATATGGTGGGGGGGGGGAGAGAGAGAGAGGGAGGGAGGGAGGGCAAGAGAGCTTTTAAAATCTTCCCGAAGTAGCTCCATGGAACCACCACCTTCTCTCTCTCTCTCCTCTCTCTCGGATCTCCTATAAATGATAGCATGGCTTGATCATTTCACAGATTTAATTGATTTTGATATGGGGAGGGGGGAGCCGGCGCTGGAAGAGAAGCGCTTTGGTGTTAAAAGCGGAGAACTGGACGAAGCGTAAAAGGGAAGGGGAGTACAATTTCGGAATGGTGCGCTGAACGAGGACTTTGAAATCTCCCAAGGTTTTTGGAAAACGGGATTTCAAATCTGTGATCCATCCTTTTCTTTTTTTTCCCCCGGGGCTGGGGGAGGGGTCGCATGGCAGATGAAGAGATTCCCCCAGGAAGGGGAAAGACACCATAGGAATAATCAGTTTAGTGCTGAGCCTTGTAGTTTCGGACGTGTGTGGATGGGTGGGAGCCTGATACTTTAAAATATTGGAAACTATGCCTAATCGATATGTCTCCCTATCTTTTTTTAAAAAAATCTCTTTTCCCTGCTCCAGAGGCAGAAAATGCAAACTTTGGGTGAAATCTTTAGGTCCACTTTTAATGTTAAGCAAGCGAGGAGTGGGTGGAGAAGATCTTCCTGAAGCCCAGATCCACCATCCCAATTGATAGGCATGCATATTTGGGGGGAAAGGGTGGCTGAGAGCTGCAGAAGGTTTGAGTCTCTTGCCCCCCCCCTCCTCCCCCTTTCTTTTGAGTCCAAAATGTGCAATTGTTGAGCCCGGTTAATGGTGATTTAAGAAAACGAGCGAGCCAGAAGGCTATAAATCCCATGTTTAATGCATGACTGTTTTTCCTTTGTGCATCTGGTTAGGATGGAGCTGGCGCGGGAGGGGGGCACTTTGGAGGTGATGTTTCCACATGTAAATCTCACTGCCGGCAGCTGGAAACCCACCCCGGAGACTGTCTTGAAACAAAAGGGTTAATAATTTCTTTGGAGTTGAGTGATGGAGGGGGGAGAGCGAGGGTAATCAGAAGATTAGGTAGATGTTCCTGCTTAAAAGCGTGTTTGTGCTCCCGCTGCAGGGCACCCGAGCTTCCAAGTAATACTTTTTGAATCAATTTTATCTCATAACACACACACACAATAATTTGCAGCCAAGGCTTCGGCGTTGTGGGGTTGTCACTTTAGCGTTGAGGAACCCTTTAACATGGGAAGCAATGGGATTGGGGGGGAGGGAGAGAAAAGGCGACGTCTTGATAAATCTTTGAGTATGTTGTCAATCTGGGGAAAAGCATCCGCGCTTTTAAAATCGCGCTGAAATGTTTGTTTATCGTAGGGATCCGGGATGTTTCGCTTGCTCTGCTGCGCCACCTCGAGGATGCGGCTGGCATCGCATGGCCCATCAGATTAAAAATGGGGATTTAGTTTCCCTGCCTTGGGGTTTTTAATGCTTAGGGTCTGAAGGATCGGATGAAATGGACAGCGACACCCAGACGCCTATCTTCCCAGAATGCTGTTCTGATTTTCACTGAATGGGATTTTTCTGAACAGGGTGTAAACCAATGATGCTACAGTCACATTAAAAACAATATTGCATTTGATGCCCTTCGAAGAATTTGGGCCAATTCCTAGGTAACAAAATTGCAGAAGATCCAGTTCTGCTTATCCAACTTATTAAATCAGGTCACTGAGCAAGGTGCTTGATCTCTCAAGTTACTTTAAACTCTCTTGCTGAATTTGCATGCAACAAAGCCAAAAACATGCTTTACTTGCCTTTTTATATAAACTCAGCTAGTGTGGCTTCATTTATTCAAGAAAATAAGCAAATTAAAGTTTAACACACTGTCTGAAACCCCACTGTGGTTCTCAGTTCATTCCAATTCTGAAATGAATGTGTTCAAAAAGAAAAATCCAGATATTTTGGACATGAGCTTTAACTAATATGGCTAGTAGTCCGAGATTATGGAAAACCTCCTGCAAAAAAATAAATAAAAAAATAGCTAATACTCCTATAAGTAATCAAGCATCTTGTGTTCTTAAAAGATTGCAGCACTTAAGGTGGCAGGGTTACAGTATCAGAAAATTCTTTGGCTGGGTTCCCACAGCATGTTGCTAAGCCTTAATGTGGTTAGTTTGCATGTTCCTTTGCAAACTGAAACTCCTCACTATTCTGGCTAATAAATGGTTGAGCGTTCTTTGTGCTGTATGAATGCAGGCTTTGCTTCGCCTTCAGTCTGTAACCTCGGGATAAGCCTGAGAGATAGATGTAGCCAAATACCATAAGGAATTGAACTTGGGTGTTTCACATCAGCCTCAGGGGCTGGATAAGAGAGTCAGTCTGGTGCAATGTTTAAGGTGCTGGCTAGACACCAAGAGACCATGCATTCTAGTTCTGCCTTAGGGGTGAAAGCAGTCTGGGTCACTTTGGAGTGATCATTCTCTCTTGGTCCATCCTACCTCTCAGAGTTGTTGTTGTAGGAAAAATAGGAGGGAGGACCACTAGGGTATGGACGCTGCCTTGAGTTAACAAAAATAAATGCAGGATAAAATTTTAACAATAGAATGGAAATTGTGTTGCATTAATGTACTGTCAATCTCTTGCCCTCTATTTTTGTAGTGGGGGGATGTATTTACATGGTAAGGAGAATCTTTTTAAAGGTGGGAAATTGACAGGATATCTGTTAACAATTTGTGCGTGGAACGAGTCTAACAATTGAGCTCTATCCAGTTTAGGCATTTGAAGGTATGATGATAATTTTCAAAAAAATTAATTTAAGAATTCCCAAAGATTTGTTGGGTCCATTTTCCTACATCTTGGTTGGGGTTTATAATGAAATCAAGTTCTTTTATCTTTTGCCTTGAAATCCAGATACTACAGAAATTTTCAAAAGAGAATTAAGTGGATTTTAGAGTGGGAAGGATGATTAATTTTGATTGGTCAAAATAATAACAGGTGATCGTCTTAAAAACAACCATTTCATACTGACAATTAGCACTTCCCACTGTCCAAAGGATTTAATTGCTCTTTGCAGCTGCTAATTGTCCTTGAGGCAAGTTTCTTTTTCTTAATATGTCAGGTATATCTGATAAGATTCTTCCATATGAATAACTGCAGGGTCTTCAGGAATTTCTAACTATTACATTTGAAAGGTTAAAACAAATATGAAACGGGCGTGTGGAGAGCTCTTCCTGATTGCATCGGTTGCTTTCTGACATACACTGGTGTGAAAAAGATCTCCAAAAATTCCACCCGAAACCTGCACAAACACGGTCATTTTATTTCAGAAAGAAAGAAAAAGATTAAGCAGTACAAACCGTCCTTAGGACAAGAAAGCTTCTTTTAGCCAGCAGTAATTTTAATGCTTACAAGAGAAGGTAAAGGGGGGGAGGTGCCTTTGTGATGATTTTCTTTCTGTCCCCCACCTTTTTTAAAAAAAATGTAAGTGAAACACTGTATTGGCTGCAGTGATTGGGCCTTTTCTCCGAAGCCTCACGCAGTTTATGATGCTTTTTTGACAAGCTGCTGCTCTAACCTTTGCCTCCTCCTGCCTTCTGTGGGTGGTAAGTTGATGTCAAGCTTACAATTAGGACTTTCCCGCAATTGACCTTGGCAGCAGGATTTGGGGCTGTTTTGGTTAAAACACTGCCCTAGTGTTAAGTGTGGTCTGGAGTTGCCTTGTTTATAATTGGAGGGATTGGTGGTACGTAGAAGCTTACATAGCTTACTAGTCGGTGCAGAGGAAGAAATGATTCTTGGATAAGGTAGAACAACTTGTTCCCCTCTTCTCTTCCTTCCTTTCTTTCTGTTTCTTCCCTGGTGATGCGGTGCAAAATTGAATGAGGTACTCTCTATTATTACTTAAATACATGGGTTTCCGGCTCGTCATGTCTACATTTGAAGTCTATATTTCCCCCAGCTCTGATCTTTAAATTCAAACCCAGTCCAGATCACTAGTTAAGAATTCTTTTATAGATCTTGCAGTATTTTACATAGATAGTGTTATGTTTTATCAATGCTTTTTTGATATGTTTATCATAATGCTTTTTAATGCTTATCGAATGCTCCTGGCAGGAATGCAGAATTAGCCAATAAGGATGAAGTCATTACTCTTTCATGCATAGATAACCC